CCAAGCTCTTTTTATGAGGCCAGCATTAGCCTAATTCCAAAACCAGATAAAGACACTACAAAGAAAGAAAAATACAGGCCAATATCCCTGATGAACATAGATGTTAAAATTCTCAACAAAACATTAGCAAATCGGATCCAGCAATATATTAAAAAGATCATACACTATTATCAAGTGGGACTTATTCCAGGGATGCAAGGCTGGTACAGTATTTGCAAAGCAATAAATGTGATATATCATATAAACAAATGGAAAGACAAAATTCACATGATCATATCAATAGATGCAGAAAAAGCATTCGATAAAATCCAACACCCATTTTTGATAAAAACTCTCAGCAAAGTGAGAATAGAGGGATCATGCCTCAACATAATAAAGGCCATATATGACAAACCTACCACCAACATCATACTCAATGGGCAAAAACTAAAACCGTTTCCCCTAAGAACAGGAACAAGACAGGGGTGTCTACTTTCACCACTCTTATTCAACATAGTATTGGAAGTCCTTGCCAGAGTAATCAGATAAGAAGAAAACACAAAAGGCATCCAAATTGGAAAGAAGTAAGCAAAACTCATTAGTTGCAGACAACATGATATTGTATATAGAGTATCCTAAGGACTCCGCCAAAAAACTACTAGATTTAATGAATGAATTTGGCAAGGTAGCAGGATACAAAATTAATATCCAGAAATTGATGGCATTTTTATATACCAATAATATACTCTCAGAAAGAGAAACTAAAAAAGCAATCCTTTTTACCATTGCAACTATAAAAATAAGATACCTAGGAATTAACTTAACCAAAGATGTAAAAGACCTGTACTCAGAGAACTACAGAACACTAAAAAAAAAAAAGGAATAGAAGAAGAAATAAACAAATGGAAAAATATACCATGTTCATGAATTGGAAGAATTAATATCATTAAACTGTCCATACTACCCAAATCAATCTATAAATTCAATGCAATCCCCATTGAAATACCAACTGCATATTTCACAGATCTAGAATGAACACCTGGAAAATTTATATGGAACCAAAAAAGACCCCTGAAGAGCCACAACAATCTTCAGAAAGAAGAACAAAGTTGGAGGAATCACAATACCAGATATCAAGTTATACTTCAAAGCCACCATAGTCAAAACATCCTGGTACTAGCTCAAGAACAGACATATAGATCAGTGGAACAGAACAGAGAACCCAGAAATTGACCTAAGCCATTATGCTCAATTAATGTTTCACAAAGGATGCAAAAACACACAATGGAGTAAGGACAGTCTCTTCAATAAATGGTGTGTTGGGAATATTGGACAGGTACATGCAAAAAAAGTGAAACTAGACCACCAACTTACACCATACACAAAAATAAACTCAAAATGGTTTAAAAACTTAAATGTAAGACGTGAAACCATAATAATCCTAGAGGAAAACGTAGGCAGCAAAAATCTCAGACATCTCTCATAGCACTTTGTTTGCCAATACATCTCCTAGGGCAAGATAAACAAAGGAGAAAATAAACAAATGGAACTACATCTAAATAAAAAGCTTCTGCCCAGCAAAAGGAACCACCAACAAAGCGAAAAGGAAGCCCACTGTATGGGAGAACATATTTGCCAATGACACATCTGATGAAGGGTTAATATCCAAAGTATATAATGAAGGAACTCATATAATTTAACATAAGGAAGACAAACAATCCAATTAAAAAATGGGGAAAGTATCTAAATAGACACTTCTCTGAAGAGGACATACAGATGGCCAAGAGACATATGAAAAAATGCTCAAAGACAGCAATCATCAGAGAGATGCAAATTAAAACAACAATGAGGTATCACTTCACACCTGTCAGAATGGCTACCATCAACAAACTAATGAATGACAAGTGCTGGTGAGGATGTGGAGAAAATGGAACCCTAGTACACTTCTGGTGGGGATGCAGACTGGTGCAGCCACTATGGAAAGCATTATGGACTTTCCTCAAATAATTAAAAATTGAATTTCCATTTGACCCAGTGATCCACTTCTAGGAATATATCCTAAGAAACCCGAAACACCCAATAGAAGAACTTATGCACCTCTATGTTCATAGCAGAACAATTTACAATAGCTAAGATCTGGAAACAGCTCAAGTGCCCATCAGTAAATGAGTGGATAAAAAAGCTGTAATACAGTTACACCATGGAACAGTATGCAGCTGTAAAAATGAAGGATCTCTTATGTTTTGGGACAGCATAGAAGGAACTGCAGAATATTATGCTAAGTGAAATAAGCCAGTCAGAGAAAGACAAGCACTGCATGATCTCACTTATATGTGGAATGTAATAAACAAAATAAACTGATGAACAAAATAGATCCAGAGACATAAAAGCATGGAACAGACTGAGGGATCTCAGAGGGAAGGTGGGGATGGGGGAGTGGGTGGGCAGTGATTAATCAAAGAACTTACATGCTTATCAGCATATCCCATGGACACAGACATTGGTATGGGGAAAGCCTGGGGGTGGGGTGGATGCAGGCTGAATGGGATTGGTGGGGGTAAAAAAGGGATATATGTAATATTTTCAACAATAAAGATTATTTTAAAATTTAAATTAATTAATTAATAAGAAGATTGAAATCATATCAGGCATCTTCTCTGACCATAATGCTATGAAACCTGAAATCAATCACAAGAAGTAAATTTTTAAAAAAGCAATGACATGTATGCTAAATAACTTGTTGCTAAACAATGAATAGGTTAACAATGCGATCAAGGAATAAATCAAAAGATAACCTTGAAATGAATGAAAATGAGACTACAACAACCCGAAATCTGTGGGACACAGGCAAAGCAATTCTAAGAGGGAAAGTCATAGCATTACATGCCTTTCTCAAGAAACAAGAAAATGCTGAAATAAATAATCTAACTTTACACTTAAAGAAACTTGAGAAAGAACAACAAACAAACCCAAAAAGAGTAGAAGAAAGGAAAAAATAAAGATCAGAGTAGAAATAAGCTAAATAGAGTCTAAAAAAAACCACAAAAATCAATAAAACCAAGAGCTGTTTGGTTGAAAAGATAAGTAAGATTATCAAATCTTTAACCAGACTCATCAAGAAAAATAGAGGACCAAATAAATAAAATAAGAAGTGAAAGAGAAATAACAACAAACACTACAGAAATACAAAGGATTCTAAGAAAGTATTATAAACAACTATATGCCAACAAGTTGGAAGATCTGGATGAAATGGATAAATTCCTAGAAACATACAATCTTTATCAACACCAAAAACCCAAACAAGCCAATTTAAAAATGAGCAAAGGACCTGAAGAGACACTTCTCCAAAGAAGACATACAGATGGCCAATAAACATATGAAAAGATGGTCCACATCACTAATCATCAGAGAAATGCAAATTATAAATACAATGAGATATCACTTCACACCTGGCTATCATCAATAAATCAACAAACAACAAGTGTTGGCAGAGATGTGGAGAAAAAGAACCCTAGTGTACTTTTGGTGGGATGCAGATTGGTGCATTCAGTGTGGAAAGGAGTACGAAGTTACCTCAAAAAATTCAAAATGGAATGACCTATGACCCAGCGATCCCCCTTCTGGAAATTTATCTGAAAAACCCAAAACACTAATTTGAAAGAATATATGTACCCCTATGTTCATTGCAGCATTATTTACAATAGCCAAGATTTTAAAGCTGCCCAAGTGTCCACCAGTAGATGAGTGGATAAAAAAGCTGTGGTACATTTACACAATGGCATACTACTCAGCTGTAAAAAAGAAGGCAATCTTACCTTTTGCAAAATGTCTGGATGGACCTGGAGAGTATTATGCTAAGTTAAATAAGCCAGTCAGAGAAAGACAAGTACCATATGATTTCACTTTTATGTGGAATCTAGTGAACAAAATAAATTAACAAAATAGAAACAGACTCATAGATACAGAAAACAGACTGACAGCTGTCAGAGGGTAGGAGTACTGGGGGGCTGGGTGAAAAAGGTGAAGGGATTAAGAAAAAACAGCTTGTAGACACAGAGTATAGTATGGTGATTACCAGAGGAAAAGGGGACAGAGGGAGGTAGAAGAGAGTAAAAGGGGGGGAAAAATGGTGATGGAAGGAAACTTGACTTAGGGTGGTGAACACAATACAATATACAGATGATGTATTATATAATTATACACCTGAAATCTATATTATTTTATTAGCCAATGTCACCTCCAAAAATTCAATAAATAAAAGGAACAAAACAGAAAGAAGACAAAAAATTAAAAGTAAAAAATATATAGAAGAGAAAAGCTTAGGAGATATTTTAGTGTTCAGTCATGTATGTGTTTATGAAATTGAATTCCTTTTCATGTGCCCAGCCTTGTTCTAAAAGCATCCATTAATATGTGAAATCTCACTGGTAAAAAATTCTTATTGGCCAAATTGGTCTTTTAAGGGCATATATTAGTCATGATTTTGCTTGTTTTTATTACTAAATTCTTTAAAGTTATAAAGATTAATGAAGCTTCAATTATTATAAGAAATTGGTAGATGTCCCATAAAATTCTCAAATTTTAAGAAGAGTTTATAAACGGATGCATGTTTATAATTCAGTTTATCTCTTCTGTTTTGGAGTGTTGGTCTGATGTGTCTATGAGAAAAAGACATGGTAACATGAAGAGGTTTGGTGGGAGTTTTTTTTCCTTAACAACTGCTTCCATAGGGTGAAAACGGTAACATTTTTTCAGTTTCTAAGGCAATGCAGTTCAACAACCACTGTGCAATTTAATCATAAATAATGACATTTTCTTATCAGGCTATTGGCCTAAATGAAGTTTAACCATATAGGTTAAAAAAACCACTTTATTTTTATTCTCTTGATTTATTTATTTGTTGTAGAATATTTGGAATTATGCTGGTCTTTGTGGATGTGTCCCTCGTCATTACAGACCTACTTTTCTCTGATTACACAATGTATACTCCTTTGGAATATCGTTCAATTTCTTTATTTATTGCTATTTTTTTTTTCATGGATGTTCTTCTTCGAGTATGTGTAGAAGGGTAAGTTTGATTAATTTTTCTACAAGCACCGTAAACCTATTTTGTACTGCTATGAAAAGCATCCCCAAATAATTGCCAGATCAGCCCAACCAAATATGTCCCTCTTTATGGTCCTAGAAGGCATGGTCCACAAGAGAAACAATCCAAAGCCCAATTTATACTAGATTGGGCTTTAATATTATTGTTGCAACTGGCACTCTAATCTCTGACAACGTATTCTAGATGATTTCTTCAAGAGGTAAACTTCTTTAGGGTTTGCAAAATGGGACCAGACAGGAATGTGTTTAACATGCAAATAATTAAGAGGAATATGTATATGAAGCATTTTTATAAATGTTAATATTTCATTAACAACTGAACCTAAATAAAAGCTGACAGTGTATTAAATACTAAATAGACCATGAACAACCCCCTACCTCAGTTAAAATACAAACTTTTGTCAAGGTCCACAGGAGATCTGAGGCATGGTCATCCCATCAGCGAGGCTTGATGCTTAGACAGCAGTTGATTTTCTCTGCTTGGTGGCTTTCTGAGAAGATTCATGGAGTGAGTCAGGCCTTGGAGCTGGATTGCTGTGGGAGTCAGGGACTAAATTTTCCAGCCTTGCTCCATCCCAGATCATTTCAGAATGCAGCTTGTCTCCTTTCCTCCTGAACTATCCTCAAGCCTTTAAGTACAGTTCCCAACTCCCAGGTTACTCGGAGGCTGAAAGGGCTACCCAGACTTGGAAAAAGCTGTCCCTGGAGCACCATTGCCCATGGCTGAAGGAGCCAGTGTTGGGGAGGAAGGTTCCATGAATAGAAGTTCAGCTTTGGTTAGGGATTGCACTGCAGGTGCAAAGCCAGACGATAAGTTTGCAGGCCGAAGTAGTGAACCCTTCTTCCTCTCAGAAGCTCCTGTTGTGCATTCTTCACAGCCCCAGTTGCCCTAAAACTATGTCATGTTCAGCTTCCATTGCCCAGTAGTACTGCCAAGCGTCCTACCTTTCTCTTGCACCTATGTGAAGGCAATGCTTGCCTCTTGTTTAATGGTTTGATTATATCTCATACTATACTTGCCAAATTGATGCTTTTGTTATATATGAGTATATATATATGTATGTATGTATAAAATAATGAGTATGAATATTGTCCCTTTAACCTAGTTTAGAAAATGAATTTTAGATAATTTATTAAAGTAGAATGCTTAATGGGAATGAGTCAAATAATTTGTGTTCTTTAAAATTTCCTCTCTTCTTTGGGGGGCATAAACTTACATTTTTTGTTTTATGTTACAGGATACAATCATATTTTTCCGATATACTTAACTCCATAGATGCTGTCATTATTATGGTAACTCTAGTAATTGATTTCACTTATATTTTTTATGACTCCAATATTTTTAACGGTATCCCCAGGTAAGAAACATATGATTCACCTATTTTAAAGATTTCCTTTTTTTTCTTCATTTTCTGTGCTTTCATTCTGTGTAATTTTTTTAACTTTGAACATGATTCTGTGCCAGATAAGCTGCTTGAAAATTAAATGTTTAGATAAATTTCCACATACTTGGAAACTAAAAGATTGGTGGGTCCAGTGAAGGGTGTACACACTAAGTGCCTTTAGTTGAATGAAGAAGATGGAACACCCAAAGAAAAAGCTGGAGACTTTGCCTCCATACTAACTTCAACTTCTCCCCATTTTTAAATTCCCACTAAATTGGAATTTGAGATTTGACCACAAATTCCTTACACATAAAATTCCTATGTTTTTCTACCAGAGAATATTGATTTGATCATATGCAAAATATGAGTGACTCCAATGATGATTCTCTAAAAAACAGCAAATGGGACATAAAACTAGGTAAAATGGATAGCAACACAGAGGTAGAATTTGCAGTATAATGTATTTAAAATTTAAAAAGCTGAGGCAAAGTTAAAACTGTTAGGAATTAGGAAACTAAAATGTGTATGAGACATTGATGACTTTTTTTTGTTCTTCCTCTTCCTACTCTGGCAAAGAAGAGCAAATGTGTACTGGGATGTAAATGTTGGCTGGCTCACTAGGCTTATTCATTAGTCAAATAGCTTGTTTTTTTCTGCATTCCAGCTTCCCAGGACTTCAATTCAGGTTCCAACAAAACTGGACATTATTTGATAGCCTTTTAGAGTTGTTTGAAAATAACTGGAGCCAGAACAATCCTCTGACCTATAACATCAGCATCACCTAAGAGCTTGTTAAAAATGAAAGAAGAAAAACACCTCAGGCCCCATTCTAGACCTATTGAGTCAGTATGCACACTCAATTTAGGGATGCACTCGTCCAAACCATCAGTTCTCTGCCATTTTGTTTTTTCTGATATTAGGCATGACACCAGCTAGCCCATTGCAAAGTATCTCAACCTGTTGCTTGCCTGATGTGTTAACAGAGGTGAACAAGAACCCTCAGTTTGTACTGATGGCAAAAAGATTGAAAAATACTCATCTTAAATAACAAAAGTTAAATCCACAAATTCTAAGTGTCTATCATACAGCTATTTCTCTAAACCAGACTTTCTCAACTTCAGCACTATTGATATTTGAAATCAGACTGTTCTTTGTTATGGGGGCTCTATGCAAGTGGCACACCCTCACACACAGTAGTGACAACCAAAAATATCTCCAGACATTGCCAAATGTCCACTAGGTGGCTGGGTGTGGGAAGCTTGCATGTAGGAGGTGCAAAATTATCTCTGGTTAAGACCACTGCTCTAGGCTTAGTTCACGTTGGTAAATCTTGTTTCTGAAGAAACAAATTGATCTTTCTAATTTATTGTTAGATTGATCATTTTACTTCGATCTCTACGACTTGTAATTCTGATGAGAGTTTTTCATCTGGCTTACCAAAAAAGACATCTTGAAAAGCTGACCAGAAGGATGGTAAGTGGGCAAAATATGTTTATGATTCAGAAAAATATTGTGTTTTAGGTAACACTGGCAAGGGTTATAGGTATCTATATAATGATCTTTATTTTTATGTTGATTTATGTTTTACAAATTAATGATTCTTTTAATGCTCAGGTTTCAGGAAACAAACGACGATACAAGAAAGATGGATTTGACTTAGACCTCACTTATGTTACTGGTTTGTGATGTTTAACTGTTGGTTTACTTATACAAATTTCACATTATGTGTGTGTGTAAGTAATTATGTGTTTACTTTGTTCTTGCCTTGTCTAAGCCATGTTCTTTCAAAGCATTCTTTATTCATGAAGAGGTATACCACTATGGTAGTTTAACCCTGATAATTTTTTTTATTGTTATCTCATATAAGGCCTACTTGGTTTACAGTAGAGGAAGTTGAGTGGATTTTCAGCTGACTCCTTTTGTTTGATTTAGAATTTATTGAGTTCTAGTAGTTATTCTGGGTTCAAAGAATCCAAAACAAACCTGCTCCTTTCCTAGAACCACAGAGAACAAGGTCATTGCTTTGTAGATATCAAGTTTCTGAGTCAGGAGCACTGGAAAGCATCCTGGGAGTTCCCACCATCGATGGAGCTGGGATCTCTCATTTTCCTTTGGTGTTTAAATAAGCAATAAATTCCCACCACAGGGGGAGCTCCAGACTGAGCTAAACACACATCTGTTGCATATGGCTGGAGCCAATTGAGTTGGGAACTCAGGGGAGTTTAATGGTCACTGTACTGGATAATTTACTATATTATCTTGACTATCCTAAGGGTTAGTTAGCTTTTTCTGTCATTCTCAATCTTGAAAGGTTTTCTGTGAAAAGGGAGTCTGATTATATGTAAATTAAGTTCTCATATATTGTTTGACATCTACAATGACATTTGTAATAGTGACTATTTTGACTTCCAGACCGTATTATTGCCATGTCATTCCCATCTTCTGGAAAGCAGTCTTTCTATAGGAATCCCATTCAGGTAAGGGTATTTACCTAACAAATGCTCATATTTCTCAGGAACCATAGACTGTGGAGTCATAAGTTTAATATTGGCCCAGAGGTAGAAGTATTTTACCCAAAATTTACTCTTTCAGGTAAAAAATTATAATGGATTGACATTAATTAACTTTTGCTCGGTTGCACACCACCCAAAAACTTAGTGGCTTATAATAGCAACCATTTACTTAGCTCATGATTATGTGTTTTGTGAATTTTCACTGAGCTTAACTGGGTGATTCTGGTGATCGCAGACAGGCTCAATCTCAGTTGAGTTAACCCATTTATCTGAGAGTTGGTTGAGTGGCTCCATGTGATATTCTCCAACAGGCGAGTTTGGGCTTTTTCACATTGTGGTAGTGGCAAGAATCCCACAAACAGCAAGCAAATGATTGCAGAACCCCTAAAGCCCAGGTTCAAAACTAGCATAATGTGGCTTCTACCTCATTCTATTGGACAAAGCAAATTACAAATCCAGTTCAGACTCAAGCAGTAAAAAAAAAGACGCCATTTCTTGATGGCAGGAATTGTAACAAATTGTGACCATTTTTTTGTAGTCAATCATGGGGAAAAAAATGGAAATTCTTTAAGTAAAACATGTGTTCTTAGTTTGAGATCCTAAATTATAGTGAAGGCATACTGCTTTAGGTTCTGTGGATTAAATAAATTAATTTCAAAGATAAAATGATGTATACTGTACTAAGAAATTTTAGTTAAAAGTCATTGTTTAAGAAGTTTGCATAATGTGTGGGTGTGTATATATTACAGCAATGTATAGTATTTATGCCTCAATAAAAATGTAATTATATAATTATACATAATTACTATGTGCATTTGTGTATTTCTACATACATACATATATAATTATACTTTTATTGAGGCATAACAAATTCTATGATACACTGATGCATATCTTGATGTAATTTTATATATGTATATGCATGTAACCAACACCTCTATCTAGATATAAAACATTTAATGCTCTTTTTCAGTCAATATCCCAACACACTGGAGGTAATTACTATTCTAACTTATTCTAACTTCTAGGACCACAATTAGTTTTACTTTTTATTGACTTTCACATAGGTGGAATCATACACGAACTACATCTTTTGTGACTGGCTTTTTATGTTCAAAATAAATTCTGTGAGATTCATCCAATATTGTGTGTACAATATTTCTTTTATACACACACACACACACACACACATATAAATGGCATTAATTTATTGCTTTCTAGAATACTGTATTGAAAGTCCAAGCATTCAGTTTACATGGAGAAATTATAAAATTATACACCACTTCACAAAGGAATGAAATAAATTACAGTTTACAAAATCTACTTTATAGAAAATTTAAAATTCTAAATATCAAAAGTTACAGCTGAAGAAAGGTATAAAATCAGCAGCCAGTCTGGCTGGGCATGGCTCAGCAGTTGAGTGTCGACTTAGGATTCAGGTGATCAGGGTTTGATTCCCAGTCAGGGCACATGCCCTGGTTGCAGGTTTGATCCCCAGTCACGTGTGTGCAGGAGGCAGCCAATCAGTGATGACTCGCTCATCATTGATGTTTCTTATCTCCCTCTCTCTCTCCTTTCCTCTCTCTGAAATCAATAAAGATATATTTTTAAAATAATAATAAAATTTTAAAAAATAAATAAATAAAATAAAATCAGCAACCAATAATTTTGACAGGGAAGTGGTACAGCTTACACAACTTTAAATACATGAATTTGAGAATACTGAGTTTAGAGCAATCATTATGCTTTGTATCTATATCAAAACTATAATACTGACTGCTGAAGAATCATGTTCAAAATTATTTAATTCACTTCAAAGTGTCATACAAATTATTGTGGTTTCTTTGTGCCCCTCAGTCATTTAGCTCAAGTACATTACTAAAGTAATATATTAATTTTTCCACTGAAGTGGTGTTTCCCACCATTGACATTTGCATACTGTAGAATAAATAAAAAAGAAATGTATGATATTCACAAATGTTCAGAAAAGCAAGCAAAAGGTCAATGAACCTGCCCAGTTTGAAATGGGGTCATGTCAGTTTCATAAACATTCATTCTATAAAATAGTTAGCTGTCTGAACACCATTTCCAAGATAAAACACATTTTTTCATAAATAATAAATTCTTTTTATAAATAACTACAAATGTATATGAAGAATTTGAATTTGAGCAAGTCTTGGAATGTGTTCAACCTGATATTTAAACAGACTTGTTTCCAGGGTTTCTCAAGGACAAGGTTTTAAATTGCTCAAAGGAGAAAGAAACTGCCTTGAGAGAGATGAACACAATCATTACCAACAGAAAAAGTATACAAGGTATTTATCTCTTAAGAAACAGGAAAATATAACATTTCCCCCTTAGAATCATATGTATATAACTATATATAAGATATAATATACAATATAAAATATGTATTATGTATGCTATAGTATAATACATACAATATATCAGATAATATTTATATATAGCATGTAATTATAAAACATACAATTATAAAATATATTACATGTCATATATTAGAATAACATATTTCTCTGTTAAAATAGCATGTTTAAATATATATTATATATGTTATATTACATAATATATAATTATATAAAGCATATAGTTGACCATAAGTTTGAATTGTGCAAGTCCAGTTACATGTTGATTTTTTTCAACAAATGCTGAAAGTGTATTTTCTCTTCTTTATTATTTTCTTAATATTTTCTTTACTTTAGCTTATATATATAGTATAATGTATTGTATATAATATGTACATGTAATGTACTTATAATGAATATGGTAAATAATATATATAACCTACAAAATATGTGTTAATCAACTATTTATGTTATCACAAAACTTCCAATCAAACTTAGTAGTTAAGTTTTGAGGGAGCCAAAATGTAATTGCAAGTAAAATATAGAAAAATCACCCTGAATAACCAACTGAAGACTAGCTGGAGAAAAGCCTTATAACCAAGGAGAAAAAGCGGCGACCGCATAGAGACTGGTAGGAAGTGCAAGGTGAGAGAGAGCTGGCTGGGCTCCCATAGGCAGCAACTGAAGTTCTGGAGGAATATCTGGATCTAAACATCAAACTGAGTTCCCCAGTCCAGAGCACCAGAACTGAGAAAGGTGCCCACATAACATCTGGCTGTGAAAAGAACCAGGGATTCTGTCCACCAGGGAGAGGTGGCTAGAAATGCTGGCATCCTCTTAAAGGGCCATCACACAAAATTTCATGTGCCGCCACTCACTTTGGGATCCAGTAAAGGGAGGGCAGAATGAACTAGAGCTATGTGAGGAGGGTCCTGAGTTAGTGACTCCGGGGAGAGAGCTGAGAAGACAGCTGCCTGGATCCCATTGTTGAGTCATTCCCCCAAGCTGCAGAAGCCATCTTTCTTAGGCAAATTTTCCCATCCATGTAGCATTAGCCTTGGAGGAAACAATAACCCCATCTGTTGAAATCATTATTGCCCCACCCTGTGGAGCTTATACCCTCCTGAGGACTACAGCCAGAGGTTTTCATTAAGTGACTTAAACTAACAGACAGCCTGTAGGCAGAGGTGATCCCTGGGTGTTTTAAGTCTTTTCCTGATCTGATCCTGAGCTGGGGGCTAGTAAAAGCAGACCTTGGTGTGCAGCTTGGTTCTTTTCACATACACCTGGGCCAGGCAGAGGGAGCCACAAGCTGTGGATTGCTGATGGCTCCAAACAGGTTGCTCAGGGTCAACCTCAGACAGTGTCAGACATTGGCGTGCACCAGAGTCCCTCTGAAGAGGCCCAGAACCAGTACACCCGGTGGCCAGTTTCAGACAACAATAGAGTAAGATCCAATGAGCTTCACAAGCAGCATCCACAAGGAAATATTGGCAAGCACCAAATCACACTGAGGAGAATTCCTTTCATGTGATCAACATCTGCAAAGTAGCATGCATGCTGTGTTGGGAGTTAAGTCTCACTGTCAGCCAGCCTAAGGGTTGAGCCCATGCATGAACGGGCCAAAACATTCAAGGCTCAACTACAACAGGAGAGCCCACACACGTGCACACAGGACTTTTTTTTTTTTTTTTTNGCCTCTGATTTGTTCACATTTACTACAACACATACAGAGGGCTGGAGGACTTTTTTTTTTTTTTTTTTAAATATCTTTATTGATTTCAGAGAGAGGAAAGGAGAAGGAGAGAGGTAGAAACATCAATGATGAGAGAGTCACTGATTGGTTGCCTCCTGCAAGCCTCTGACTGGGGATCGAGCCTGCAACCCACACATGTGCCCTGACCAGGAATCAAACCCTGATAGCCTGGATCCTAGGTCAACGTTCAACTGCTGAGCCACACCTGGCCAGGCTGGGACATTTCTTAGAGCATCTAGTTCTGGTGATCAGGGAGACTGAGCCACTGGGTCCTAACAGGTCACCTACTATGTAAAGCCACCGTACTAAGACTGGGAGACAGAAAAATCTACCTAATACATAGAAACAAACACAAACAGGCAGACAAACTGGGGAAACAAAGAAACAGGCCCCAAATGAAGCAAAAAGAGAATGCTCCAGAAGAAGAGCTAAATGAAGGGGAGGTAAGCCATTTATTAGATAATGGAGTTCAGACTAAGGATTATAAGGATGCTCAACAGCATAAAAAAGGATATAAAAACTATAAAAAAGGACCAGTTAGAAATGAAGAATGCCATATCTGAAATAAAGAATACACTGGAAGGAATAAACAGCAGGCTCAATGAAGCAGAGGATCAAATCAGTGTTTTGGAAGACAAAGTAGAAAAAACACCCAATCAGAGCAGAAAAAAGAAAGACTTAAAAAAATGAGGATAGTTTGAAGGACCTTTGGGACAACATGAAGCATAATAACATCCATGTGATATGGGTACAAGAAGGAGGGGAGTGAGAGCAAGGGATCAAGAACCTATTTGAAGAAATAATGTCTGAAAACTTCCCTAACCTGGTGAAGGAAAAAGACATAC